GCGTGAGCTGCCGCTGAGCTGCACATTTTAGTTGCAAAGCACAGCCTTGAGACAAGACAGGGTTTGGCTGTGGTCCCTGCAAACACAAGAGGATAAACTGCCCAGGGTCGCTACAGTTTGCACCCTGATGGCCCCAGTTGTGCACCTGGCAGTGAAGTTTCAAGGGTGACAGGATGCCCTGGCAGTGGGGAAAAGAGGACACCCTGGGCAATAAAAGGTTTCTCCATCATCTGCTCATCTCCATCCCACACAGCGCACTTCCCGAGTGGAAGCCAGCAATAATCCTGGCTTTCCTCGCTGCATAGCAATCAGAAGCTGCTTTATTTTTTTGAGTCCTGAGCGAATATAAACCAGAACCTTTGCCAGCTGCAATTACAGCTAATTCCCCGGGCTTCAGACTGGATCCTTTTGGTCCCCTCAGAGGCTCTCCTGCCCCTTGAGGGACTGAAGAGGATCTGCAAAGCTGCCAGCACTTCCCAAGAAATAGCCTGAGGCCAGGGGATGCTCCCAATGGCCCCATCACTGAAGCTGCCCACCCTGATGGGCATCTGACCCACATGGGAGCGCTCCACACCAACACTGCCTGCAGTTATCCATCGGCTGATCAGTAGGTTACAGTCACCCGCAACATGCTCCTTTTTCTAGCCCCAGGAGATGCATCATGGAAATCCATACATTTGAACAGCCCTTTTAATTATTTTTAAAATAAAAATGCTTGTTTAGTTCGAAAAAGAAAGGAAGAAACCCTATCAGGCAATGCTCCATTTAATGACATTTTTATGTGGATTAATGAAATAGCAGCAAAAACTTTCCTGTAAAATAGAAGTGTTTGGAGATTTAAACAACTGTTCTTTGATGGGCTTTGTTTTGATGCTTCACTTTCAGAAATAAAGATCGCCAGAGAATTTGCTGCTTAGGAGTTTCCTGTGATAAAATAATGGTATTTTTCAAGTGGCTTCTCTTTTGTCCTTTTACTAAACCTCGTTGAGCAAATATCATTGGCCAAATGTCCATGGGAGATTCACAGCCAACTGAGTAGCCAGCAGAGCTGTACCGGAGTTGGTGCCCAGAGGGTGTTCAGTTTCTCTCAGCAAAGCCAAACCCAATAAATACTGTAGGTCAAAGCGCTTTTTGTTTCTGCAGTTTTAGAGCCCAAGGGGAGAAGTGTGTCAGGGTGCCAGTTCCCCTTCCCAAACAGGAGAAACACATCTCACCCATGCTTCTAAAACTGCCTTTTAATCAAATAACAGAAGCAGGTCCTAAAATCCATCTTGCAATACCACTTAAGCCACAACTCAACCTGAGATTAGGGGTCAAGTAGTGAAGACTTAATATTAGTTAAGCATCTCCCCAAAACCCAACACAGAGCTGTCAGAAGAAATACGTTGCCACTATGCAACAACTTGCACAGATGGCAAGTAAAAGCTCCTGTTTGTGTTTTAAGAAGCAACTGTGTTCCTGCTTTCCAGTCCAAGCCCAGAAACTCAGGGAGGGATCTCTGCTCAGGAGCTCCTAGGGCTGCCCAGTGGCTTTCCTGCCCACAGATACCAGGGAAGGATCGGGTCAACTCCTCCCGCAGGCTTTCCTTTGGGATAGGGCTACAGTAAATCACGGTCATGTATGGGTCTCACTTTAAGGAAGGTAAACCCAACCAAAGTGCAAAACAAGTGCTCCATTAGCATAGTTGCAGCAGAGCAAAACACCTTCCTGGGCTGGAAGTTTAACTGAAAATCACCTTTTCCTCTCAGCACTGCTGTCTCGCACAGCAAAGGGACACCCCAAAACTCAAGCGCTGCTTTCCTGCCAGGGCCCTGTGCTCCAGAAGTCTTCCTCCAAAGACTGTGGCTCCTGCATGTGTGCCCTGACCCAGGCTGATGTGGAAAGCCTCGAGGGGCTTTAGGACAGCTCCTTGAGGGAGCTCAGCACCTGGAGGGGGGGCAGTGGTAGGAGAGCCCTCCACCTCAGTAAGAGAGAAATGAGACAGGTAGGAGCAGCTTCTCACCTCTCACCCTGCTCTGCCTCCTCCACAGGCAAAACCGGCAGGCACTCACCTGCAGCAGAGGGAAGTCCCTGGGGTTTTCCTTCAGGCTCCCAGGGAGTCCCTGGCCAAAGGATCTGGCTTGGGGAAGGCAGACGAAGGAGTTGTCCCTTTGCAGGCAGCCCCTTATGTGTGACCATTGGAAAGGGCAAGCGTGTCAGGCAGGGTGAGGAAGTGGCCCTGGCTGCCCCTGGCCCCCCAGGGACATCACGGCGGCAGGCGGGTTTCCCATAAGTGGAGTGGAAAGCTCTTTATTTAACCTGCATCCCCACCTGCCCTCAGCCCCAGCCTTGCCTTGTCCATCACGCCTGCCTCAGAGTGTGCCACAGCTACTTTTTTGGCAGGCTGAGCCAAAAAAAACCTTTTGCAAGCCAAGGCTCTGCGTAACTCTTTCCTCCCCAGGCCTGTGAGAAGTGCACGGCAGAGCGGTGGGCACTCATCTTGCATGATGCAACACACAGCATCATCCCCAGGCTGCTCCCAGCACTGCCCAGCCAGCGGCAACCCAAGCAAGTCACCCAGAGCTGTTTCCTCAGGCCGGGGCTCTGTCCCCTCCCCAGTCCCACTAGTGTCTGGGGAGGCCCAGCCCCACCACTCACTGCCCTCCCTGTTAGACAGCAACCCTACATCAGCGGGCGATGGGTGAGCCCAAGCAAATGACAACAGACCACCATGTTAGGGGTGTGACAGAATGACTGGTGATTTAATGCTTCTTGAAGTTTTTTGTCTCCTTCCACAGGGCATTGGTTTTAAAAACAAACAAAACGAGGTAAAATAAATTAATTTATGTACACTTTACATACACTGTGTCACGTGGAGCTCTGCAGCAACAGTAACCAGAAATCATTACAAAACAGAGAGTTAACGTGGCTGTTGCAGGCCCTCGGCAGCCTGCAACCAAGAAGGTTGTCATCCTGAGCGTGGTTGGCAAAGTGATCATGTAAACATGTTTAGAAGCATTTACGGTGGACAATGGATGGGCCGGCTTCATCGTATTCCTGCTTTGTGATCCACATCTGCTGGAAGGTGGACAGGGAGGCCAGGATAGAGCCACCGATCCAGACGGAGTACTTACGCTCAGGTGGGGCAATGATCTAGGAAGAGCCAAGAGAGCAGAGATCAGTAAACAAGAAACCACTGCGTGGCACAGGGTTTGTGGGAGGGCAGAAGGTGGCTGCTCCTGCACCTGGGTCCTTCATGCTCCAGCCTTACCTTGATCTTCATTGTGCTGGGGGCCAGGGCTGTGATCTCCTTTTGCATGCGGTCAGCAATACCTGGGTACATGGTGGTACCCCCAGACATGACATTGTTGGCATACAGGTCCTTCCTGATGTCAATGTCACACTTCATGATGCTGTTGTAGGTGGTCTCATGGATACCGGCAGACTCCATACCTGGGGGCAGGGAAGGGGGGAAAAGCAGGCGCAAGTTAAGCAGAGAGCAAGAGCTCTACGAAGGACTCAGAGAGAGGAGAGAGCTGGCAGGGGAGGGGAGAGGGAGTGGGGCACACACACCAATGAAGGAAGGCTGGAAGAGAGTCTCTGGGCAACGGAAACGTTCATTGCCGATGGTGATGACCTGCCCGTCAGGCAGCTCGTAGCTCTTCTCAAGGGAGGAGGAAGAGGCAGCGGTGGCCATCTCGTTCTCAAAGTCCAGCGCCACATAGCACAGCTTCTCCTTGATGTCACGGACAATCTCACGTTCAGCTGTCGGGGGGGAGCAAAGGCATTAGTGACCGCAAAGGAGAAACAGGGAACGCTTGCACCTCCTCCATCGGTCTGCTGGCACTCCAAACCCCCAACACCACACAAACTCCCCACAGGGAGCACTCAGGGGGCTTGCAACAGGGCGAGAGGCTGCAGCACCCCCAGAGGTGCAAGGGTCAGAAGCGCAGGGGGACATCCTGGGGGAGGGAATCGTGCTTACCTGTGGTGACGAAGGAATAGCCACGCTCAGTCAGGATCTTCATCAGGTAGTCAGTGAGGTCCCGGCCGGCCAGGTCCAAGCGCATGATGGCATGGGGCAGGGCATACCCTTCATAGATGGGGACATTGTGTGTCACACCATCACCGGAGTCCAGCACGATACCTGGGGAAACAAGAAGCAGCCACCTGAGACACAGCCCATGAAGGCTCCTGCCCTGGGGGCAGAGCACTTGTCAGCTGTCCAGGACTAGTCCGACTAGACTAGACTAGACAAGACATCCTTGCTTGGGGCCAGCGGGACACCTGCACTCACCAGTGGTACGGCCAGAGGCATACAGGGACAGCACAGCCTGGATGGCCACGTACATGGCAGGGACGTTGAAGGTCTCAAACATGATTTGGGTCATCTTTTCACGGTTGGCTTTGGGGTTAAGGGGGGCCTCAGTGAGCAGGGTGGGGTGCTCCTCAGGGGCTACACGCAGCTCATTGTAGAAGGTGTGGTGCC